GCTGAGGCAGGAGGATCACTGTGAGTTCGAGACCAGACTGGTCTGCATAGTGAGTTCCAGGTCAGTCTCACTACATGGTGAGACCCTGTCTCAAAGAAACAACAACAACAAAAAAAAAAAATACATAAGATTGACAGGGATTTAGCTCAGTGGTTCCATCCCCTGCCTCACAAGCACAAGAACCCTAGTTCGATCCTTTGTAACAAAAACAAAACAAAACAAAACCCATAAGATTACTAGCTTTATAAGAATATCCTAATATAAAGATATTAAGAAGAGTTTTCTGAAATTTTACAAACCTCTGAAAGACATACATATTACCAATAATGAACTATGAAGGTTAAAAAAAATTTTTTTCTGAGCAGTCCCTAATTAAAAAAAAAATACTGATCAGGGCCAAGCATTTAGCTCATTGGTGCCACTGCCTGCCTTGCAAGCACAAGGCACCTAGTTCAATCCCTAGTACCAAAAAAAAAAAGGACAAAAAACACTGATCAACCACACTAGTGAAAAGACTAAATTGTCTATATTCTTTTGAAAATATAGCCATCATTGTACAAGGAGACAAAAGTAGTCCTAATATGTACGGGAAGAATTATGGAGAGATGCATCAGGCAGGTAACAAAAATGTTATTTTAAAATTCTGCCCAATTATGAATGTAACTGTACTGTAAACCTAAAATGTACCAATAAACTCAATGAGAAAAATATTTTTTGCATTACTTGTAATAGTTTTCCCACTTTAAAAAAACTGTTTTGATTTTTTTCAGCTTTAATTGAGTTTATTGGTACATTTTAGGGATACAGTACAGTTACATTCATTGTTGGGATCTTGTACCTCTACATGACAAGTCTTGATGCTCATTTTTCCCCTTACCTCTGTCCTCCCTTCACCCCCTCCTCTCCTCCCCATCTACAAACACTTTATTTTCATCTTTTCATTCTCTCACATTTTTTTCTTTTCCCTTTTTAACTCTTCCCCTACCCATCCCACCTTCCCTACACCTTTAGCTCCTTTCTTCCCATTTCTAAATGTCAGTAATCTTATTAGGATCTTATGCACTGTTGCAGATTATTCACACCAGGGAAACTATTCGGTATTTACACATGTGTGACTTATTTATTTCACTTAGGAGTATATCTTCAATATGTATCCATTTTCCTATGAATGAATCTATTTTATTATTCTTTATGGCTGAGTAATATTCCATTTTATAGAAAAACCACATCTTCTTTATCCAGTTTCCAACTGCTGGGCAAATGGGCTGTTTCCAAGATTTAGCTATTACAAACTGTGCCACTATAAACATATCACATACTTCTCTGTGATATGATTCTTTTAGTTCTCTTGGAAAGATACCCAGCAGAGGGATGGCTGGGTCAAATGGAACCTCCAGTCTAAGCTCTTTGAGGTATCTCCATATTGATTTCCATAGTGGTTGCACCAGTCTGCACTCCCACCAACAATGGAGAAGGGTTCCTTTCTCCCCACAACCCCGCCAATATTTGTTATGTGATTTCTTGATAGCAGGCATTCTTTGTGGGATGAGGTGGAATCTCAGTGTTGTTTTCATCTGCATCTCTCCAATGACGTGGAACATTTTTTCAAACATTTTCTTGCTGCTTTTAACTTCTTTGTCTGAGAAATGTCTGTTCATTTTGGATGCCCATTTTTGAATCAGGTCTTTATCTTTGGGGGAACTGATTGTTTTGAGTTCTTTATATATCCTTGATAATAGTCCTTTGTCTGAGGAACAGCTGGTAAAAATTTTTTCCCACATTGTAGATTGTCTCTTAGTTCTGCTGATGGTTTCTTTTGAAGTACAGAAGCTTTTTAGCAATATGCGATCCCAGTTGTTGATTCTATCTGCTAGTTCCCGTGCCACTGAGGATCCTGGGAAGAAAGAATCAACATAGTGAAAATGGCCATACTACCAAAACTGCTATATACATTCAATGCAATGCCAATTGAAATTCCAGCACTATATTTCACAGAACTAGAAAAAAAAATCCAAAAATTCATTTGGAATCATAAGAGACCTAGAATAGCAAAAGCCATTTTAGGCAACAGACACATGGCACCAGGTGTAACAATTCCCAATTTGAAACTATACTACAAAGCCACTGTGATAAAAACAGCATGGTACTGGCAAAGAAATAGGCCTGAGGATCAGTGGAACAGACTGGAAGACACAAAAACAAATCCAGATGTACTCAGCTACCTCATCTTTGACAAAGGAGCTGACCATCCTCAGTGGAGGAAAGATAGCCTCTTTAACAAATGGTGTTGGAAAAACTGGATGTCAACCTGCCACAGATTAAAATTAGACCCTTATCTTTCGCCATGCACTAAATTAAAATCCAAATGGATTAAAGAACTAAATATTAAAACAAAAACATTAAACTTGCTGGAAGGTAAGTTAGGCAGAACTCTGGAACACATTGGTATAGGAAAAGACTTTATGAACAAAACTGTTTTGATTTTTAAATCTAAATACATATTTTTGTACCTAATTTTGTATTTATGATTGCTATTCTTTTTCTTCTGAAGCCTTCAGTTGTCAAATTACACCCCTAAGCTTTGGGCTTCACAAAATCTGTATTTGCCCCTGTTCAATCATGGTTTCTCTCTGCCTAACTGGTCTACCCTTATTCATTCTTGTCCTTTTCTAATCTGCTGTCCAGGCCACAGTCTACAGGATGTTCTAAAAATGTATGTATAATTCTATTTTTCCCTTACTCTTTCAGTGATCTCTAGTTAGCCTAGTATAGAAAAAAACAAAATCCTTTACAAAGGATCTAAGCCCTGTCTCTCTCTCTCCTTCCCTCTTTCCCGCAGTGTGCTTTAACCACACTGGCTTTCTTAGGTTCTTGGAATGCACAACCATGAGATCTCAGCATATGCTGTACTTTGTGCCTAGAAGACAACTGGTGGCCACCCCATTACCCCATTAATAAATTATCTCTTCCTTAAACTTCAGACATTCCCCCAAAAGTCAATTCCTCAGAGCACTTTAGGTTAAGTCAGCTCTCAGATGCTCCATGTACCCTTTACTTTTCCTGCATGGCATGACTATTTTAATAGAGTAATTTCTGTAGTACTAGATCAGACAACTATTAGAATACAAATTCCATGAAAGGTAGATGGTATCTCCTCAGCACTAGCTTCACATCTGGAATAAAACAATCTATCTTTGCTGTCACATGCACACAAACACACACACACACACACACACACAATGTGACAGTAATACAATTTTGGACAACAATGCACATGCATCAGATTCTTTTCTGTAAGGTCTTGTTCAATTCTTAAACCTAATAGGAATTAGTTACTCCACCAGCTAAAGTTAGTCTAGACTAAAGTTGCAACTTAGCACTCTCCCAGCATAATTCATTTTTGTTGCAGAAGTCTACTTTATTTCCTAAAAAAGTTATTTTTGCCTTGTGAAGACTTACTTTAAAAAAAAAAAAAAAAAAAAAAATGATGGCCAGGTGTGGTGGCGCACACCTGTAATCCCAGCACTCGGGAGGCTGAGGCAGGCGTATCACTGTGAGTTC